ATTTCCAAGTAATTGATTAATGCCGGCTTTCATCGCCTCTTGCATTTTCATTATCTTGGACAATTCTTCATCATCATTATCTCCAGACGGGACTTCAGCATCAACAATCTTATCAGTTGAATCCATATTATTCTTCTTTGAGTTTACACATTGCTCGGTTGTTCCATTGTTTACTATTTTATTATTTAATTTTACCTTTTCGGTATTTTTCTTATGCAAGCTAGATTCCGCGTGTCTTTTTAAATTAAAAGGTTTTTGTATCAAAATCACCGAGCAGAAAGAACATTCGCCATAGAGGGACAATTTTTTACTATTATTATTTAAAGTTTTAAGGTTTTTAATATTAGCTATGGACTTGTACCTGTACCACGGATAAAGCGCAGCAAAAGATTGTTTCTTTTCAGTTAACATTTTGTTAAAATCTACTGTAATTTACATAAAAGAATCGAAAAAATATATATGTAATATATCTTAAAACTACCACCACCAAAAAGAAGAATTTAGTTCAATCCCTAAAATAATAAGTAATAAAATATAGCCAAATTCCATCACCAAACAAAATAACAAAGATTAGAGAAAATAGTATCAAAAGTCAAATAAAATATCCATCATTCAACATTCATCTTAAGTAAATGGTGTTTTAATAAAAATAACATTTTTTCAAAATAGAATATCAACATCAATATAGTACTAACAAATGTGAACCATCAATCTGGTTGAACATAATAAAACCGTTTAATTTTCGTTTAAACGTTATTTTTCAAGGGTTCATCTAACAAAAAATGTATATGTAACGAAACATTTTTTGCCACGATATATATATATATACATATATATGCAAAATAACTCTGCTCCACAGAATCGCTCCAAATAAGAATAACGTATACAAGGTTCAATAATCTAACTATGCCTTCCACCGAAAAGTTCTATAGTTTAAATGATGTAATCACGAATGTTGATTGCTACATTATTTAATGTTTAATGTATTATACAGATTTAAATATATAGATCTAACGAAACTAAGTTACCATAATATCAATAATTTATTATAAATTTAGTTCTTCGGTTACTAACTGATAAAATAATTTTGTACTGTTATCGTAGGAACATCCGAAGGAAAATGTTAAGATCCAAATTTGTTTTTATTAAAATGAATAATGTCATTTTCCATGGCAATGAGACAGCTTTTTTAACTTGGAGCGTCGCAATTTTCTAGAACGCTGTCTCATTTGTATTTAGTTTTAGTTGAATAGGTGATATTACCATCTGTTCTTTTAGAAATAAAGGTTTTTTTCTTAATTTGTGTAATTGTCATACGCAAGGGGAAATTTATTCATTACAATTTCATTAAATAATTATTTGTTTCTTGGAACAGGCACCGAATAAATAAGTATACTGTTGGCCTCATGACATAATAATCGATAAGGATCATTAGGAGCATGTAAATTCTTTTCTTAAAATTGGAAAGGCATTCAAAATGAACCGCGAAAAAGCGACTCATAAATAGTTTGGCGCAACGTTTCTAAAAACAAATATGTTTCATCAATGTTACATATCTAAAGTTTCTATACCTTAGCAATAAAATGTTGTTGATTAGTTACGAGTGACAAAAAAAAGATTATATTAAACAATGTAGTCGGCACGGTCAATAGTATAATCGATAAATTAAAATAAAATGCAATATAGAATAAAAAAATTTGAATAAAAGTTTTGTCGTTATTTTGAAAAGTCAAGTTTTCCATTTTTGTAGTAGTTGATGATTAATTAATTGATTAATTAATTAATGTAGTAGTTAATTTTATAGTTAGGTTAGGTGTTTGTGACGATGGCGCAACGCGGTAGTCATTCCTGTGCAACATCATATTATCGTTATTTCTACGACCAGGCACAATGCCATGACCATCCCTGTCCGTAATCGCAATATTGTAGCTATCCATGCCCGTGATCGCAATGCCATGGCTATTCCTGCCGTTGTTCCGCATCAAGGAACGGTCGATGAAGTGCCTATGCAAGCTCCAGCTCATGGGCATGAGATCCCGCTCGACGTCGTAATGCTGCTGCCGTTGATACATGTCAAAATGCAAAAAACGTTATTGCTATGCAAGCTTTTATACGCGGTCGCAATGCCATAGCAGTTTCACTTCAAAATCGCATCGCCGCATGAGCTCATGCTTGCAACCGATCCACGTCGAGACGCAGTAGACGCTGTTGCGGCGCATGCTTCCATCTACGGGTCCAATACAGATGCTCATTAATTTGCAGGCAAGGATATTGCCGCGGTCGATCTACTTTACGAGGAAATTATTTCTCCCTCGTATGAAAGTTTGCGAAACAAGGATATATACTAATTTAATACAACGTATGCAACACAAGAATTTTAGCAGATTCTTTTTTCCGAGCATACATAAAATCGAGCCTCGCAGACATAGCGTGTCGAAAAAAAATTGTGTAGCAGTAGTAAATTAATAGGAAAAACCAAAGTTCAAATACTGATGAAACAACATTTTTAAGAATTTCAAAAAGCTGTTGGGTTAGAATCATGTTTCTTTTTTTCCACCCTTCATTGGAAGTTTGGACGATTAAACGAAATATTACTTTGCGAGCGAATTAAATTATTATTTACGTATTATCAAATAATAATATACTGCGAAAATGAGAATTTGAATGGTTGATAACTATTGGAATATATAGTTAGCAACGAATCTTGCGTTTTGTGAGTGATTTATCACAAAAGCTTTGAACTTGATACAATTATTTAAATTAAACTGTTAATAAACTGACGTATTATGATCTGCAACAACGCATATCAATGTACACAATATATAAGAGATGAATGAAACTAAACATCAAATGAAAGCACGAAAAGCTAAGCGGTAATTAACTTTATTTAAGATATTTATTATAATATCGCTAATGTAACAAATTATCAATTTTGTTACTTTACGTACGTATTGTTAACATGAATTAACGTATCACTATAAAATAATTTGACTTGAAAACTAATTTGATTGAAAACTAACATTGAACGTTGCAAACTTCATAGTCATAAACAATTGAATTTATTACAAGTTTTACAAAAAGCATTATCAGCAATAAAAATATGAATGACAGACATAATTATTTTTATAACCCCTGATTTGATAGCTAATTTGTATAACAAACTTCCTCGTTCCTCTCTTTGAAGCATCGATGTTCGATTGAATGCTACAGTGAGCAAATATAAATCAAATTCAGACGTATTAGCTGAATTCATACTTGTAGAAGCAAATCTGAGAATGAATCCGAAAGTAATTCACATTTAAAGCGTCTGATTCGCGAATGCATTATGAAAATGAAAATTGAAATAATACAAAAACGATTTATTTACCGAAGTTAGTGGTATAGATAGTTCAGTAAAAAAGTGTAAAATTCAATATTTTAGTTTTCGTTGCAAGCACAAGTTGCACTTACTCGTGAATTACTCTGTTTTCAAAGATTGAATTGAATCTAAGATGGAGTTTAGCTAAACATGAATATTACAGTTATTTTTATTGAGACAAAGGGTACATTAGAAAATATTGCTAAGAAAATAGTATACTCAGCGTGGGTGTACTCACCGCAACTAAAGAAAGTATCAACTTCGAAAAGAAATAATTAAACTTCAAATGAAATTTCGTTTGTGAATGTTACTTAAAATGACAATTTGTGACTACTTTCGTATACTTGCCGAAACATATTCAGATAATGGTTTCAGTAAATGGAAAATCAAAATTAATTTATACTTCGATTGCTGATAGCGCTACCATTTTAACACACGATATAGCTTTTATAGAACGTTTATCGGTACCTAAGCTCGAAACGAACATTCATGCCCTTGATGTGAAAGACATCGCAAATAAAAAGAAACAAAAAGACAAACTATACATGTAAAATTCGACAGTTTTCATAACCCTGATTTGACAGCTAATTTGTATAACAAACTTCCTCGTTCCTCTCTTTGAAGCATCGATGTTCGATTGAATGCTACAGTGAGCAAAGATAAATTGAATTCAATAAGACAAGAAAAAAAGCTTACTATTAAAACACCATTTACATTATTGGCTTAATTTTTTAAAATTACTCACCACTGTTAGTTTACCTTAAAGTTGAATAAAAATATAAAAGTCTTAAAGAAGCCTTTATGAACGATAGATCGTTTGCAACCTGAAAAATGCATTGATAATATTTTAATATTTACCAATTAATTACGTATTCGTAAAACGCTTGAAAAAAAATTTATAAATGAATCTTTCTTTGACTCTGCATTAATTGTATATATAATTATAAATATTATTAAAGAAATGTTTATTACTTACGTGTATTGCAATGTACGTATAACTTTTTAAATAAAATCCACACCTATCAAAAAATGGATTTACACAATAATATCAATAATATCAATTTCTGAAATTAATACAATTTTTATGCACAATAAACACTCTTTATAACCGTTAAAAAAACAACTGATACTAATAGAAGCACGATGTTGCTCTCTAGCCGGCACAAAAGAAACAAATTCGCTCGTTCGATCGTCATTCGGCGGGAAGGCTCGGGTTGTTTTGTTTACATTGCGAATTACGGAAGTCGTGTATATCATAATAGAATGGGAGTCTGGTATTTAAATTATTTTTATAATTTCATTTCAATATTTAATGACAAATTAAATAATACTCTGTAAATGCTAGAGAATAATTCATTTTTAATAATTATAAAATCAGAAAAGAGTGAAAACAAGGTTACTAAAAAATAACTTTTTATAATTAATTAGTTTTTATTATTTATTATTTATTACTCTTCAACAATTTTACAATACATTGTATATATAAATAAAATTTTTTTACATGCTAATATGCGAAAAGTATTTTCTTTTAGAATTCATAATTCAGTGGAACCTTGGAACGAACGGAATCGGAAAGAGCTCTTTCAGTGTACAAACTGAAGTCAGCTCTAGGGAGCTCTTTTTTTCGATATAAACCATCGATGCCCAGCCCTGCTAACATCTAACAATTATCAAGCAATAACAAATCCTCGTACCACTAATGAATTAGTGTTGGCATTTTTTTTATTTCTATTAAATTTTTCACATCAAATCATGGATTCTGAAAGTTCTAGTGTGACTCGTGAGACCATCGAGAATAATGAGATGCTCAATTCAACTTCAACAGATTTGAATGATTATTCATCACTTGATACTGATAGTATATTTAGAAGTTTGCGGCAACCTTTTTCTGATGAAAATCAATCCTTGAATAATCTTCCAAATGGTATGAACAATTAATAGATACTTCTCTTGTCATTAAATTTAAATTATCTTTAAATTATGCAGCATATTTTAAATAGTAACAAACTCAATATGTATTTTTATACAATACTCAATTACTTATATTGCAGGTGGATTTTCACAGAAGTCTTCTTCAGCAAACTCTGATATCCCTTCGTTGAGAAATAATAGTTGTACAAGTGAACAGTCAAATTATATTCATGACAATATTCAAGATGATATACAAAGTATAATAATAGAAACACTTTTTAGTCTTGCATGTAAAGTTATTATCTTTATATTTATTAATGGATTCTCAATTTGTGTGTTCAATTTTTCAGATGTCAGTACCGTAACACATATGAATATCGATGCCTATAATGAATCTGATACAATTGTTGCTGATCAAAACTTCATGACTCCCAGCTATGTATGTATATAATTAAAAAAATTGTGTACTGATGCTTTATATGTAGCTATTATCTATAAGTTTCATAAAAATTGTGATATAATTAAGTAAAGCAAATTAATTTATAAATTATATTTGAGTATTGCATACATATTATGTACATCTTTCGTATTTGTTCAATAAATGAAAATATATGATGATTTTAGTAACTAAAGATAGATCCAGTAAATTGATTGAGGGGAAGCTAATTTTTTATAGTGCAATATTTTATTTTCTTTTTTTTTACTTATGAAAAGTACTGATTTGTTTTATGAGTATAAAAATGATATATTTTTTAGAGTAAATATTTTCTCTAGCTGATCAAGTGAGAAGGATTTTACTGATTCTATAATAATTGAATAGAGATATTCTTTAAAAATTTTTATAAATATGAAATTTGTTTCATTTGTCATTTTTTTAAATAAAAATATTGGTCAATCTCATAAATCTTCGCTATATCAACTTATAATCTTTGAACGTTTGATAATTATTTATATCAATCTTTAAAGAATATCTGTATTAAAATCAGTGGAGCAGGATCTTTACTTAAAGCTAAAAAATATATATATATTCACTACAAATAGAAATAAATATTTTATGTGCTGTTTGAAAAATCTTATATACTGTTTACTTAAAAAGGGATGCATGACATGCGCAAATTCTTAATTTTTCCTTTCTTTATGTAGGACATATAGCGTCGAAAAATACTCGTGAATATGGCATAAAATTTCACTGAACATTTTTTTTATGGACTTTTTAATTGTTTTTGGAACGAAATTTTTTCGCAATTTCGCAATATTCGCTGAGTATTATGTTTTTCCGTCGAACTGTGGGACTAAATCCGCGACGTACTTAAGTGGTAATTTCAGCGGTTGTGACATTGAGCTGACGTTTACTTTCGTATTATTATTTTCGACTCGTTCCACTTTATCTGATTAAATATGTAAATTATAAGGTGCTAATTGTTCGGAAATTTCGTTTTTGTTTATTAAGTTTTTCGATATGCTACAAATGCTTTGTTCGTTTAAAATACCGCCGATGTCCGTGTATTCGTTATTGTTAAGTGAAGAATCGTAATTTTGATCGAAAGTAACGTCTAAATCTAACAGTGAATTCGGATATTCAAAGTTTAATGTTGATTTTTGTTGTGAATTTTCTTCTGGAATATGGGTATCCGATATATCAATTAATTTTTTTTCTTGATTTGTTTGTTTATTAGTCTTTTCTAGATCGTCTGAAATTTTTATTTTATTATTTTCGCTGCCTGTTCTAGGGAGAGAACGCGAGAGTTTATTCAATTTTTTAAAAGGATTTATAATAGACATGCTTAGTTCAATTATGCTGATTGTTAATTCTGATTTGGTTTTTACTTAAGGGTGTTGTCTAGTCGGGCACTTTGAAAAAATCGATTTTTTTTATACATTTTTCGAATGTATATGTATGTAAGAATATTGTGTTAAATTTTTATAAAGATCGGAGCAGGATAAGTGTATTTTTTTGAAGCTCTGTGAATTACATCGCTCATCACGATTCCACGCGTGTTCAAGAAGCAAATCGCCACAGCTTGAATACTTCCAAAGAGTCTAGAACAGCGAGAAAAAAGGCTAGATTGGAAGAAAATCAAGCTTTCGATCAATCAGAAGGTACGTCATACGGTGCAGGCATTGCAGATTAAATTTTGGTAAGATATTTTTTATATTTTTTGTTTAAAAAAACTTTAAAAACGCATTTTTCTCAAAACAACGTCTTTTCGGAACTGTAACACTGAACTGTAACTGAAATTTAGACCACATATTCTATACATAATTATCCACAAAGTAGACGACTTACAAGTTATAATTTTGATTTTTACTATTTTTTTTTCCAAAAAATGCCAAAAACCGTTTTTTTCAACTTTTCACATTTTATTAAGTAAAATCCACAAAATTAGCCCAAACTTAATAATTATGGTCCATTTTATAGCTATTATCATACCAAATCTAAAACACTTTGATTTTTTTGTTTCAGATAAGCCGTTGCTGAGAAATCATGTTGCGACTAAGCTGTCTTAAAATTACCGCTCAATATTCAACTACGTATTTCGTACAATAAACTTGAAAAAAATGAATAAAAAAAAATTTTTTTTTGGAATTTAAGATCTAATTTATTATACCTATGTATTTTTATATCCATATCTTTCATAATCTACTCAAAAAAAAATTCCAAAAAATAGCAATTTTTTTACACCGCCGACTAGGCAACACCTTAAAGTCGCGTAAGTTTTTTCGCGTTATTAGAACTAGGCGAATCCTTTTTTTTCATTAAAAATTTGATAAATAGAATTCAGTCCGTCAGCGGTAATTGAATTAATACAATGGAATTGTCGCGCGTAACGAATCAACTGACTAAAAAAATCGCTACGCTCTTTTATATATTGACTTATTAGCCTACATTGATTTGTCGAGTAATCAAGAAGTTAATATGTCAGTGTTACGATTTCTGGGTTGGAATTCTGCTGAGTTCGGTTAGTTTGACAATTTTGTGTTTCGTAAAAGGTGAAATACATTTTAGTGCTTACTTTGCTACTTTGAGCTTGCTTGATTTCCGTTGACCTCAAAATAAGTAGAGTTTACATATCAGGACGTAACACAACTATGAAGGTGGTTAACTTAAGTGCAGATAAATTTAAACTATTTTCAATGTAAAAATGTAGAAACGGCATTGAGTTTAGTATAAAATAAAATACACATAATTATATTGAAACAATAATATTTATTTGTCAAACTACACATATTAATTTCTATTAATCCAACTATTATACAAATTATCTAAACTTAACTATTATATGTTACGTCTCAAGCTAAAGCAGAAATCAGACGCTGAGGTGTCACAAAGCGATTGCTTGTATGAAAAAGTTCATTTCAAAGCTTCTCACACAAGAATTCCTAACTGCTCAGAATTGTTGTTTTCCACAACCACGAAAAGGCAGACATATGTTTGCGAGTCCAGACTGTATTTTGCAGAATTGATCAACATGCATAATAGTACTCGATGTGCACTTTATGAATATAGAATCACGAAGGCGAGGGAGAGAGGTGGCGTGCTTTTCTCTTTCTTTGTCTCTCATTTCTCTCCATCTCTTGTTTCTCTCCATCTCTCGGTTTCCACCTAATCACTATTTTTTATTTTTGGACATTCTTTCTCTTTCTTGTTTATACGAGAATCATCACATGAAAGAGAAAATCATTTTTTTTTCGTAGTTGATTTTACAGTGTAAAGAACGGAGTAATTAGCTAGTTGGTCCGTGACGTTTATTGTCTCAATCCTTCTCGATTTATGTGATGTGCGAAGCTGTGAATGTTACTATTAGCACGCTTTAAATTTAATTGATTAAATTAAAAAGAAGTCGAAGAAGAGTTCCCCATCATCAGGAAAGACAAGACGTAACATTGTGTAAAAACTTGATTTTCATGTCTTCTTATAACTTTTTCGACCATCGAAATGCATAATGTTCTAAAGTTTGTAATCGAAAAAGACACCGAGTATGGGTTCAGATTATAAATATTTTGATTCGTTGGCGCTACATATATCACAGTAAATATTTTCGTAGATTAATTAGGCTTATATTTTTTTTTTAAACACTGTATCTATATTGTGGAATTTTGAATTTTTGTCTATTTTCTCGCATTCGAATGAATTTACTTAACTATTGAGCTTAAATTGTAGCAGTCATTTGAATAGTTATTGTACCAATCATTCTATGCTACAATGCGATCATTGCAAGCTACAGTGAACTCGATAGTGTATTATGAAATTTTTTCCACATTTTATTTTTCAAGATGCAATAAAATCGTTCGCATATCCAATCCTTGAGCAAACTATAAGTCGGATAGATTTTATGGGTAATTCTTGGCTATTTCGATTGACTTGTAACCCTTAGGTTACGGATTTTTTTTTAATTTGGCACAATTGTTGTACACATAAAACTGAGATTTTTCCCAAATTTTGGAGACGATACATTAATTATATCAAAAGTTATTAACAATTAAAGAAAAATAATAAAAAATTTTCAAACGGCTATATTTTAAAAATTAATAAAGATATCGAAGTCGGATTTTTTCAAAATACTTATAATGCCTTAAAATTTCGAAATAATTACAACAATAAACAATAAAAATTTTTTGTCGAAAGTTATTAACTTTTTGTTTAAACAATTGCTAATATCTCAAAAAGTATATTTTTTTTTGAAAAATTCTTGCTCCTACGTATTCCTGAGGATTTTTGCTATCGAAATCAATCATAAAATTCAAGGGCCCGACATATCGGAAAGCGTAGCCCTAATCAAAAGAAGACGCCTCGGCGTAAGGCTGCGGTAGCGCTCCAGCGGACTCACGGTCGAAAGGTACTTTAGCTTTAATCTAAAAAACTAATAAAGATACCGAATCGGATTTTTCCCAAATTACTTATAATACCTTGAACTTTCGAAATAATTACAACAATAAACAATAAACATTTTTTTTCGAAAGTTATTAACTTTTTGATTAAACAATTGCTAATATCTCAAAAAGTATATTTTTTTATTGAAAAATTCTTGCTCCTATGTATTCCTGAGGATTTTTGCTATCGAAATCAATTATAAAATTCAAGGGCCCGACATATCGGAAAGTGTAGCCTGAATCAAAAGAAGACGCCTCAGCGTAAGACCACGAAGACGTCCTGCTGTCGTTGCGACGTACACCGAGGCATCTTCTTTTGATTAGGGCTACGCTTTCCGATATGTCGGGCCCTTGAATTTTATGATTGATTTCGATAGCAAAAATCCTCAGGAATACATAGGAGCAAGAATTTTTCAATAAAAAAATATACTTTTTGAGATATTAGCAATTGTTTAAACAAAAAGTTAATATCTTTGTATTTTAGCAGAAAATGTTTCGGATAAAAGTTATAGGATTTTTTCTTAGCTATCTAATGGTGACCTCAACCATGACCTCAACCATGATCTTTAATATCATTTACGAGGTCTGTTCAAAAAGTATCGCAAATTTTGAATTTCCGTGGGCTACGTAAATTTGATTTTTGATTTTTTTGTAGGGTTATGTTGGTACTCATGTCCCTTACTTATGCTGACAAGGTCGGCCATTTTGAATGTTTAATTAATTTTGGACAGCTGTTTTGCTTGGCTATGTTTTGGCTCGTCTTCGATTGTTGCCTATTGTAAAAAATGGATCAAAGAATCTGTATCAAATTTTGTGTGAAAAACAAAATAAAATGTGCGGACGCATTCCAAATATCGACCGTGACATATGTTGAAGCTACCTTAGACTAAAGCAATGTTTATCGATGGTACAAAATGTTTTCAGAGGGCCGAGAAGATGTGAACGTCGAACAACGTGCCGGACGTCGGAGCATGTTAACAACAGATGAAAACATTGATAAAGTGAAGAAAATAGTATTGGCCAATCGTCGAATCACTGTTAGAGAAGTTTCTGAGGATCTAAACATATTGATTGGCTCATGCCATTCAATTTTAACTAATGATTTGGGCATGAGTCGGATCACCGCGAAATTCGTGACAAAACTGCTCACTTTCGACCAAAAACAGCATCGCGTTAACATTGCTCAGGATGTTGGTGTCACGTCGATACGAAAGAAAAAGTACGTGACAAATTATAAGTTATGGTAACAAACCGGGTATCGATAATTTAGTTTTCTATTGTACCAACCCTCCCGGGAAGATTTGTAAATCTATCTAGCGGGATAGATTAGTCTAAGCACGTCTCCATAATATTTCCGCGAATATTACTCACCGCATATTAAATTAGCGAAAACACAGGAAGGGGCATCTCAGCCTACGGTATAAAAAGGCTGGATTGGAATTCGCACAAGCAGTATATAGTATACAGTACGCAGTACACAGTTGACGATTCAGCATTTTGGTAGTTTCGCAAAGTTATTTTTTAAGTCTAACTATCCGGCTACTTAGAACCGGGATTATACTCTGTTAAGTACTTTAATTAACTTTAAACAATAAACCTTAAATCAAGCGCAAACACCTGATACTGTTCGTAAAAAACCTCTTCTGAAATCCAATCCTAATAAGGTAAGAAACTATTTTATCTGCTCAAAACGCCCTACGTATAATAAAGGCGCTATCCCTTTAACCAATCTCTGCTTAACTCCTAACTAAGATCCAACCTTTACCAACGCGACATTACTTGAATATATTATTACGTCTGGCTGTAACATCTCCTCGCCTAGACATAACATTGGACTCGGTCCGTGATGACCCAAATGTGCTCCAGCGGATCATAACTGATAATAAATCACGGGTTTATGGTTAAGATGTGGAAACCAAAGCTCAATCATCCCCATGGAAACTACCGCATGATTGAAAACCGAAAAAAGCGCGCCATGTTCGGCCGAACGTGAAGGTTTTGCTCACAGTTTTCTTCGATTACAGGGGCGTGATATATCATGAGTTCTTGCCACAGGGTAGTACGATCAATAAGTAATATTAACTGCAAGTTATGAGCAATTTGCGCCAAGCAATCCGCCAGAAACGTTCGGATTTGTGGAAGAACAAAAACTGACTTTTGCACCATGATAACGCCCCTGCTCACACATCATTACTTGTGCACGAATGTTTGGCCAAAAGGACACAGTAATGATGCCACAGCCACCGTATTCCCCAGACCTGGCCCGCCGTGACTTTTTTTGTTCCCAAAACTGAAGAGGCCCATAAAAGGACTACGCTACGACACGATTGAGGAGATAAAGATGGCATCAACGGAGGAGCTGAACAAGATCACAAAAAATGATTTTTTAAGTGCTTCAAGAATTGGAGAAAACGTTGGCACAAATGCATTATATCTGAGGGGGATTACTTTGTAGGATATAAAATAGATATTCATGAATAAATAAATAATTTTTGAAAATATATACAATTCATGATACTTTTTGAACAGATCTCGTATATATCGAGGTAAATTTTTAAATAGAACCCCATACTTTTTATCCATGGAATGAAAAGAGCAAATGTTTTTCATTCAGATATGACCTTGACCATGACTTTAACCATGGTATTTAAGGCCATTGTAAAGTCAAGGTAATTTTTTAGAAT